AGCCGAGTCAAATGGCCTAGCAGCAGCCCTGCCTTAAAGAAACCAATGCAATTAAACCAAACAGCTATGAACTGGTCCTGACAGCTTCCACCAACTTCATTTGATAAAGTGAGACGCAGACGCAGACACACTCCGACAGACAAGCCCACACTTTATTCACTGCCAGACGCTGCACCAATACGTAAGTATAGATTCAGCTATAGGGAGAGAAATCAGCTCAGCAGCTCATCACTACAACCAAATAGCCATATAAAAGCCGCCTAGCCCAACTGCCTTGTAAGGAATATCACCGACAGCTACAGCTCCTATCCAGCAAGCTAATAAGAATAATTATAGCCAGGGCAAGCATTCATCAGCTTGGCAGATACAGGAATTCTGTTAACAAGGCTGAAATAAGTGCCAAGGAATCTCTGAAGACCACAGCACTTCAAAGGCTGTTTAAGCTAGAGGGATTCACGCATGGTTCTCCTGCGAGCTTTCCTCCTTATCCAGTGCCCTGTGGAGCAGCCAGCTTCACATCAGCCCCATTCCTCTGAGCAGGCATGAGGACCTGCACGGGCTGCAGACTGTCACATCTGAGAGGTGCATGCTGACACCACTACTCCCTTCTGGATGGCACCTGGGCCCTGCACGCCCCGGATCCTATTTTTAATGACTGCTTTGTTGTCTACCCATGATCATCTTTTCTTCATCTAAATGAATCTCAAACAGTCTGCAGCATAATGGGCATGGTGAACCATGGTCAGGTGATCCTTAGCATAGACAAGATGGAGTTTGGCCATGATTGAACATGTTCTTCCACTATTCTGGGCACCTAGTCCCTCATCTAGAAGATGACAATAACTGAACCTTTCCCAAGATTTGATGACTGACAGAGCCAGAGCGTATCCAAAAGCCTGACACTCAAGTGACAGCTACTGGTGCTCCGTGCCTTTCAGGTTGTAAAACCCTCACAGAAGGCCACCGGAAAAGAACAAGGCTGGGGAGGATGATCAACAGCAGAGTGTACAGGTCCTGGTTTCATTCTCTAATACCACCCAAAAAAGGACTTAGTTTATCTTGTACCATGCATCCTCTAAAATTGACAAGGACTGCTTGGTGCCCCTCCAAATCCCAAATCCATCCTTCCGTTTTCTGCAGTGGCTGGCAGATGGCTGCTAGGTTCCTCTGTGTTTTTCAGCTTCCCTTGCAGCTAGTGTGACATGGAACTTAACAGATACACTCTGTCTCCCACGGAATATGCACAAAAATGGCATCACTCCCAAGCTTGGCCTATGAAGTGTCCATTACGATATCCAAGCTGGAAAAGGATATCCTTGGAGGGGCTGGAAAAGTAAGCATGAAAAAATATAGTGATCTTAAAAACCGGGAGCTAAAGGGGTCACCAACCTGGGACCAGAAGAGTGTCGAGGAAACAAGAGCCCACCCAAGCTTTCCCTCAGGAGCACTCCCTGGCCACTGTTACAGAAAAAAATAAAGTCCTATTGTTTGAGCCACCGTGCTAGGTAGGAGCGGGAGTGTATCTGTTAAGGCAGTTTAACCTGCCTAATTAGCATAATACTCTTTTACAGAAATTGAATTTGAAAATATGGATGTGATGCTTGTGTCACTTAAAAGCTATTTCAGTGGATTTGCAACTTCTTTTAAGCTATAGAGAATATATCAATCACCCTCCACAATCTCTAGGTCTGACGCTGCACACCAGTTGAGGACTTAGCCGGCCCGTGTCGTGTTAGTCTCACCCAGCAAGCTCTTCATGGCTACCTACTTACAGGTGTCCAGGTGGTCAAACACTCCCTATGTGTTAGACCACCTATTATTAAGAGAATAGAAAGAGAGCAAGACCAATGGGGTCCCTGGCCCTGGGAGATAAATCAGGTGGAGACGTAAGACCCAGGGACAGACAATGACAATCAGTGTCATGAACTGAAGCCATGACATAAAACACAGGCTGCCTGGCCACCCCCAGGGAGCCAACAATTCACAGGCCAGACTAGTCCACACAGCGCACAGAGTCTCCGGCACCTCCCCCTAAGCCACCCCACCCCCAAGCCCAATCATCTCATCCTCTTCCCATCCCATTACACGGAACTCGGGTGCCATTTCTGAAGGAGCCACACACTTCACTCACCCACACTTTCTGCTTTTCCCCAGAGCCCGCGACGCTCTTCTAGCCTTCCTTTCAAAATTCTAATTATCCTCAAGGCTCAGCTCAAATGTCACCTCTTCAGCAAAAGCAACCCCAACCCAAGACAAAATGAATCGCCCCCCCCTCCTCCCTGCTTCTCCCCCAGTGCCGGGCTGGTGTCAGGGGTGGTATTATTTTTATCACCTGACCACTCAGCTTCATCAAACACTCAATGAGGCGGCGCTATACCCTGGTCATTTGCTGGGGGACTCCCAATACTCAACACACTGTCACAGAGAGCAGGCACTTAAGAAATGGCATGTCGAATAAGGGATGAAGGAGCGACACAGACAAGGAGCTGAGACTGAGCAGTTCTGGCCTGATCCTGGTCGGTGGGCTTAGAGAGCTTCAAGGGGGATGTGAGCTTCCGGGGCAAAGGGAGATACACAGGGAAGAAGCCAGGAGGAGGGCTAGAAGGCCCAAGGGAGGCCATGAATGTTAGCAAACAGGTGCTTAGAATGAAAGAGCTAAAGCAGAAAGAGTAGGGAGTGAGCACAAGAGGCGTCTCTGGTAGGAAAATCACAAGAGCTCAGTGCACACAGGAGAGAGCCCCAAAATCATCCACCGGAAAAATGGTCACCTTAGAAGGGAGCTGGAGGAAAAAAGGTCAACATGAGGGGTCAGAAGCTGGCTTGGTGGGGCACCTCCAGGACCTTGGCTAAGACGGGGTTGTGGAATGAGTGGGGTGTGGGGCTCCCTCAGAAGGTGGACACAGCTTGAACCTGTGGCTTGGGAAAAGCTACAAAACAAAGGGCCCGGGTACAGGTGGAGGTCACAGAACAGACGATTGCCAAGCAAGTAGCAGTGACATCAAGATTCTATCCTGGGAGCAAGACCTGAGGGAAGATGATCGTGCTTACCAACACACTCCATTTCCGGATTCAATGTGTCTGGAGAATGATGGAAGACTGGGAGGCTGCCTCTGGGTTCAGACGGAAGCTGCACCCAGTGAGGTGCCAAGGGGCAGTTTGCAGGCAGCACATCAATAGTTCAGAGAATTGTTGGTGAATCTGCACTAGCCAGTGACTCCCAAAACTCCTTACGTCTCATCAAGGTTGGATGCATGAGTATACTACCACAATTTCCCCAAGCTGTGCTTTTTTTCCCTGTGTTGTTGGCTGTGGTTTGTTTGTGTATTTGTTTGGAATGAGAGACGGAATCCAGAGCCTAGCAAAGCTACACAAGCCCTCTTCCACAGAGCTACAACCCCAACGCGCTCCAGGGCATTCTTTTTAAACTTCTACCCCATGCTACCCTCCTAACTGGTCCATACACAGACTGCAAACTGACCACTCTAGGAAAAGTCATTCACATAAACCACAAAGTGAGTAGCAGATGGGAGTGGTGCCCTGCACAATCTGTGCAGCCATAGGGCCGTGGCCCTGCTTGACCCGGACACGAAAGCCAATTACATGGTGTGGACCATCCCCAGCAATTTGCAACAAACACAGAACTTCCAAGGGCAGGCGCCTAGCAGGGGAAAATTTAAAAAGTGTGAATCAGAAACCAGAGGACCACGGGATGCCTTCTGTATATGGGCTGTGGCTGAAGAATTGTGGCTAGATGAGGTCTTGGAGGGAGTCATTTCCAGAAAAGCCCTCAGAGGTAAAGCATCACACTAGCAGCTAAGAAAGACTAGTTTGCAGGCAGCCAGGACTCATGGGGGCTGGGACAGTGAAGTCCTAATGCCAGCAGGAAGGGGGTGGTGGAGGGAGGCCTCCACTGGGACCCTCAGGCCACCAGAAGTGCAGTAATTTAGCCTATATGCAGCTGAGGCCTGGCTGGGATAGACAACACACAACACGTGCCCTGCTAAGGACTGAGCTCTGTCTTCTGCAGAGGCTTGGAAGGGAACCTAGGGCTGAGTCTGGAATTCCGCTTGTCCTAGATGACACTGATCACAAGGATCCAACCATATAACCGCACTTGGGGATCTGCCTTCCTGTACCACGGCAGGCACTAAATAAATACATCTCGTGGCTGGTTAAGATCACCCTGTGTGTATCTACGTGAAGATGGTGTCTGTGTAAGGAGTGAATGGAAAATGGAGAGAGGTGGGGAAGCCCAGGAAAGATTCCTAGGGTGGGGGGAGGACATTGGGCCGAACCTCGGGAAGGCACCAAGGGTTTCCGGAGGGTAGAAGAGAAAGGGGCAGTAACAAGGGAAGTAACAGGTAGAAAAGTTGGGGAAGCAGGGCTCTCGGGTCTTTGTGTATAAATCAGAGCCTAGTCGGCTTCAGGAAAAGCTGGAAGGAAACACTGAGGCAGATCTAGCCACAACTAAAATGACGGGGACGGTACACGATTGTCACTGTAACGCTCTGGGCCACCCAGTGACCTTCGTGGAAGGAAGTTGGATTCTCTTGCTCCCCTAGAAAAGCAACTCAGCATGGGCTAAGGAGTGCAGAGCGATCCGGACCAGCCGCGGCTATGGCGGGGCACAGCAAAGGCTCATATTTCCGCCCAGCCGTGCACGCGGGCCGGGGCCGCCCGCATCTTCCGGGGCCGGGAGTTCAAGGTGAGCCCGGTTCCCGGCGGCCAACAGGTAGAGAGCGCTGTCGGGGAACCGGCCACGGGCCACTCCCCCGGCACACGTGAGGACCCGGCTCCGCCAGGCCGGGCGGCTCCGGGTACTCCGCGCGCGGGCCCAGGAGGATGTGCACCGGGCTCCCGGCGGCCGCACACCGTTCCCCACCGGGCCGGC